TTTATAGAATCACAGAATTTCAGAGGTGGAAGAGAACTCAGTGTACATCCAGTCCAAACCCTATCTGCAAAAGAATCTCTTCTATCATATACCAACAAATGGCCATCTTGTTTTTGCTTGAAGTCTTTTATCATCCATCACTTCTTGGGATAGCCAATTTCACTTTTGGAACTTTCTAATTGTTAGAAAGTTTTCTCTTGCATCAAAATGTTTTACCACTTTGAAACTTTCACACATTGTTCTTTGTTCTGACCTCTGGGGCCAAACGGAGCAAGTCTGAGGCAGTGAAAGCATTGAATTTGAAATCAAGGACTGATTTAAATCCCATTTATGTCACCAATTGCTGGAAATCCCAGTGTCCCTGGGCCTTACTTTGTAAATCATACAGTCAAGGTGATCACAGATACATTTGAGTAGTTATCCCTTTCACATTTCGACTTTCCCCATCCAGTTCTATATATTGTGAGTCGGCATAAGCAATTAAATGGGAATTTTAGGGGAGTTTTGCGGAAGTTTCAGATGACACACAAAGGCCAGCAGTTGACAATGAAAAAAGTTCCTTTTCAAACAGTATTTTTACTTAACATTGACCTACATATAGTCTATGACCAAATACTTAACCCAAATTTTACAATAAGGTACTGTAAACACCCCATAAAAGAAAAAAGAAAAAATTCAGACTTCTTCTCTTGTACAGAGGGATAGCCAAAAAATTTAAGTGGATTTTCTAGATTGTGGGGCACTGAACCCCAACCCCTGCATTGTGGAAGGGTTAACTGTAACTGAGTGTTCTCTTTTGATTTATTTTGTACTTAACAATACTTATTCATAATGTTGGAGGATGGTTTTTGCTCATTCTTTTATGTGTCAATCATTGTAATGAGACAATTTTCTTATGAGGATTACTTTATTTTAGTTCGGTATAGCTATAGCTGTTTTAAAGGGAATGACTGCTCTGGGGCTCCATCTAAAGATAAATTTATGCTCACATATATATAAATATATATATATATATATATTTTTCCCCCCACCACTGGAGTTTTTTATTCAACATATCTGACTTATATACCTCTCTGCAAACTTAATATCACTCAATGCTGTCATTAAAACACAGATCTGACCATGTCACTAACCCCTTTCACAGAGGCTTCCTATTACCTCTGCTCAGGGATTCCTATTCTTTTTGGTATCATGGACACCTTTGGCAATCTGGTGAAGCCTATGTACTGATGGGGTATGGGCCCAAGCTGAGACCTTTGCCCCTCACCCCAAAAAGAATTTGGGTTCCATTTGTCTACAGGCCCCAGAAAACCCTTAAACTTTCTTTGACCTCACTCTAGTCTCAAAGGGTTATATTCTACTCAATGGCCTTTGCTTATCAACTCTCCCTAGCTCCCTTTGAAAACCTAATGAAGCTTAATCTTTGATCCTAGTCCCACCTTTGATTTTATCCAGACCCAATTCAAATGTCTACCTTCTAGTTCCCTTCATTATCTATTCCCATTGTCTATTCAACCTCCCAGGCATTCCCATCTGAATTCTCCCTGAACTCACCCTAGTTTCAGGATCTTTCTCCCAGCCCCTCCTGCCAACACCCAAAATTATTTGAGTCTATGTAAGATCCACCTGGCCCCTGTATAAAAGCTGAGATTTCCTCATGCCTGCTTGTCTTTACAGGAGTCACTAATATTCAGATTTCTTAACAGTCTGGCCTGTATGGCCCATCCCTAATAAAACTCTGTCTCAAAGAAGATTTGGGTTGAATTCCTTTGGGCAGGACCCATGTGTCATGATCTGAGGATCCCAGCACCCCTAAACCTCTAGACCTCATCAGTACTACTCCTCTGGATATTTTTAAATGCACAAAATAAAATAATAGGATCACAGAAGAAACAAATTATATTGATGTGTACTTACCAATAGAATGAAAAGACAAGTTCATGGAGCTCAGATTAAGAACCTGTAATCCAGGATAAAATTCAAACTCCATGTTAATCAGCTTTAAGAGTCTTCCTACTAGGGTAACCTCTTAGTACTCAATAGAAGAATTACCTCTAGCATCATCTATTTATCCTGTACAACTTGCTTGGTATATATTTGTTGTTCACATATTGTCTCCCCTATTAGACTGTAAACTCCTTGAGGGCAAGGATTGTCTTTTGCCTCTTTTTGAATCTCCAGTGCTTACTACAGTGCTTGGCACATAAGAGGTCCTTAATAAAAGTTTAATGATTAACTGGTTTGACGATATGGACTGAAGATCACAATAAAACACATTCCTTTCAGAGCAGCCATTCAGACAAAAGCTTCGAGTTTGTTGAAAGTATTGGATAAAATGGAAATGAAGTAGAAAGTAAATATACTTTTTTTGCAAGTGTTGGTTGGTTCAATGACTTTAAAAATAAAATTGAATTACATAATGTTAAAATTGCCAGAAAAGTGGCCAATGGAGGTGAGAATGTGGCAGCTAAATATCCTAATGTTTTGAAGAAAATAATGGAGAAAGGTGGATATAGTGATCAACTAATTTTTAATGTGGATGAAGCAGACTTATTCTGGAAAAGATGCCTTCTAGAACTTAGATTTCTAAGAAAAAAAAAACTCAACCTGGATTTAAAATGTCTAAGGATTGCCCAGTACTTTTATTGGGAGGTAATACAGAAGACGATTTTAAATTAAAAGCAATGCTTGTTTATTGGTCTCAAAATCCTCTAGTTCTGAGATGCTACAGTCAATTGCTTTCAGTTCTTTTGTAGTCAAATAAGAAAGATTGGATCACTAAACCTATTTTTGAAGACCGGTTTTCAAGTTATTTCAACTTAGCTGTTGAAAAAATAAAGGATAACAATATTAAGTTTAAAGCATTACTGATTTTAGCTAATGTCCCAGATCATTCAACTATACTTGGATCACTGTGTGAGAGTGTGAGCATGCAAATTCACTGAGATGGTGATAAAGCTCTCTGCACCTACCAGTGTATGAAGATTTAAAGAGAGAGAAGACAGTTCAGTCTGTACTGCTAAAATATTTTATACATTTCTTTTTTTTTTGGTGAGGCAATTGGGGTTAAGTGACTTGCCCAGGGTCACACAGCTACCAAGTGTCAAGTGTCTCATGCCACATTTGAACTCAGATCCTCCTGACTCCAAGGCCGGAGTTTTATCCATGGTGCCACCTAGCTGCCCCCTGCTAAAATATTTTAAATGACAATGATGTTATCATCGTATTGGCTTATTTTTAGGTATGATATTTAGGTTTATTTTTCCTTTCTCATACTACTCTTACTTTGTAATAAATAGGAATAAAAATGTTTTTCTTATCTTTTGCTATTAAACGTATTTATTATCTACCCCATTAGAATCTAATTTCCTTGAGGGTAGGAATTAGTTCATTCTTTGTACTTGTATCTCAGGGCACCAGCATCTAGTAGGCACTTAATATTTGTTCATATAATTTTTTATTCTTTATGAGATCTTGTAGTTGTACAGTGTAAGAATTTTGTAAGATTGGGCTTGAGAATAGTTTTTGCTACAAAAGTAAGCTAGTATTTACGTAGTGCTTTAAAGTTTGCAAAGAGCTTTACATATTCTCATTTGATATTAGCAACTTAGTGACACCAAGTGCTATTATTATCCCTGTATAACAGATAAGGAAACTGAGGCTGAAAGAGGTTAAGTGATTTTCCTAGGTTCCTGAGTCAGGTTTTGAATTCACGCCTTCCTGACTACAAGTCCAATGCTCTAGTCACTGTACCCTAAATCTTGTGTTGCTTATAGTTTTATCTCTTCAAAGAAACTCAGCACCCACCTTTAGGATGCTCTTAGTCTAATCAAGGCAGGCTCTAGTTTAGATCACACTGAATGAATCTCACTATTACAGAATTTTCCCATTTATTAAGTTTTTACTTTCTCTGGGCTGTGTGCAAAGCACTTTCAACTCAGCTAAGGGGGAACAGGCTGGGCCTGGTCTTTCCCTGGTGTTTCTGACACAAATCTGAAACTTGAAATCCTAAATATACTGCTTGTCACCTGCCCTTTCCTACTTCTGCCTCCCTCAAAGGAAGGGAAGGAACCAGCACTTGTAAAGCACTTACTTTGTGCTAGGCACTGTACATACAAATGCAAGCAAAAAGACAGTCCCTGCCCTCAAGGAAATTACTTACTGCCGGGGGTGGGGAAGTGGGGTGCAGGGGAAAACACCAACCGGTGTTGAGCTGAAAAGCAAGGGGGCTAGGGAGAAGGTTCCTTGTACAGGGGGAAGATTTTGAAGTCCAGAAGCCAGGAGCAGGGCCAGGAAGGGAATGAAGAAAATGGAAGTTCACCAATGAAAAGGAGGCAGTTCTTAGAGAGATATGTTCCAGGTTGAGAAGGACAATGAGAAGGTTGGGCTGTTCCAGGGTGAGGAAGCCCCAGTGCCTTGGGGAAGTTCCAGAATGAGACAGCATAATTTAGAAATCTGGGGACAAGAAAACAGGGCCAGGAGGGCAAAATATACACATTTCCTTGCTTATGCTTTTTTTGCTCTAAGTCAATGTTGTCTATATTCAGATGCTTGATTAATTTCTACTCCTTCCTGTCCTTTGCAAGGAAGTTATCTAAGACAGGGCTTCTTAAACTTCTCCCAATCATGACCCCTTTTCGCATTTCAGCAGAGTTTGTTGGAGATACATGGCCTGAGGGCGCACACAGTGCAAGGTGAGCATGTTCTGTGTTCAGAACCAAGGCCTGTGTTCAGAACCGATGAAGTTGCGTGATGCAATATGGGCAAGCACTGCCAGAAACACCTTGGATTCATTGTGCTTTTGATTTTGAATTATTTTTTGGTCATTGCACATTCAGAAACCTTTTACTGTTGCCAAATGGGGTCTTGACCCACAGTTTAGGAAATTCTGGTCTAATAAGTTATATTAGTACTTCATCAATTTCTAAAGACTAACATTAGAGATTATAGGATTATCAAACAACATATATTTTAGTATATCAAGGAATATTTATTGAGTGCTTATTATATGCAAAGCACTGTGACAGGTACTATGGGGGATACAAAAAAGACATGGTCCTTAATTTCAGTAAGTTCTCTCCTGTGAAGGTCAATAAGATCCTCTCCAAAGCTGTAACAAGGGTGGGTGGGGAACACAGGAATTTTTTCCCAAGATGAATTTAGAGAGCACCAAATTTTGAGCACAATAACAGAACCTAGAGTCCTTAAACAGATCAGCATCAACAGATGATTCCTATGTTAGCAAGAATAATTTAAGATAGAAGCTGGAAGATTGTAGGGTAAGGTGTACATCTCCCCTATTCTTCTTGTTCTGGTGCTATGTAGTGGCCCCATTTCCTACTCACCTTCTCTTCAACTATGAGTGCATTTGAAAGTTTGTCCTAGGCAGTGTGGTACTTGCCCAGTGTGCAAAAATTCCTAATTACAGCTCTGCCTATATGACTTGGCTAAATAAGAAAAAATTCAGAACCTAACCATGCTTTATTATAGCTATTTTCTGATACACAAAATTACCAATCTCTGTTGGCCTTTAGAGTTTGCTTCAAGAAGACTTTTTACATTTTGGAGGGCAATATAGTACTGACATCATCATAGATTTAGAACTGGAATGTATCTAATCCAACCCTCTCATTTTATACATAATTTCTCTGTCCCTCAGTTTCCTTAACCAGCTCATCCAAGGTCACAGAGGTATTAAGTAGCAGAGCTAGGATTTCAACCTAGGACCTATAATGATAAAGCCTACAAACTATGATAAAAGCCTACTAAATCACATTTCATTTATCTCCAAATGTCTCTAAGACAAATAGGATGATGTTAGATATGAAGTCTCTCTCTTCCTATTCTGTAGAGCCATTAAAAACACGTCATAGAGGGTTCTTTAAAAATATTATATGGTCATAATGAAAAGTTTCTCCAAACTAAATCTGGGGGTTATTTCACTGATCTAGGCTCAACACAGATCAAAGTATGTTTACCCTCAGGTCCTGAAGACCAAGTATGTTTTAAAGCAATTAAAGTTACAAAGTGTTGAAATGTCACTTTTTAAAAACAAAGATTGTTTTATAGATAGGTCCTTAAACTGAAAGAAAATGGGAAAAAAAAAGAAAAATAGTTGACATCCAACTTTGAACTATCTTTGGACAAACTGAGAAAAATTATAAGTTCTCTCAAGTGTTAAGTGGTCAATTATAAGAAAAATTATACAATACTAGGACCATATCCAAATTTAGCAGAACCACTACTCTAAACTCAGGACTGAGGTAGTATGAAAATGAAAAACCAATCTCTATGAAAATATCATGAAACTGTTTAGTGAATTGATGAATTTCTCAAATATATCTAAAAAAGTAAAATGCTATTTAGCAGCATCATTAAGGTATCTTTCCATTCCATACATATACAACTTGGCAAATCAAGGGGAAAAACATTTTACATAGATTATATGTTATAAAATCATGCTAAACTGGAGAATTATTTGACATTGCCTTTAAATGGTATATATACATATCTGCTCTTTGCATTATGAAAATTAGCAAGAGATTTCAGTTGTTTTAACTGCTTCTAATAGAGCCATACATTAATTTTATTAATGCCAGATGCAGTAACATAATGCTAAAAATAAGCATGCATTAGTCATACAACAAATTATCCTTTAAAAATTCTGCTTGTCACAATTAGTGAACTTCCACTTCCTATCCACTTTAGTGCATTATCATTTGAACAAGTAAAAGGGGAAATGAAAAATACTGAACTTATTATGCTACTCAGCACCAGTAAAAAGTCAAAAGACCTTTAAACATTTTCATATTATCAAAAACATTTGTATCTGTATTACCAAACATGTAAAGTTAATAACTTTGTTCCATTTCAAGATGAGTTATTTTATTTACAGTATTTTGTATTTCAATAAAATCTTTTAACAATATTTAAAAATTATCTAACTTCATAAAAGTATTGCAGAAATTTTAACATTTAGTAATTTTATGTACATATAAGGAAGTTCATGAAAAAAGTTAATTTAAAGAAATGTATTCAGGGAATACAAGCAATGTTACCAAATTTAGCAAAATTCCAACTAAATCAAGGCAGCAGTCATTCAAACATTCAAAAACCCTTAAATGCTGCTAGCTTCTGAACATGAAAAGTTCCAGTAAGAAAAGTAAATATGTAAAACAATATGTTTTTGAGATCAAATGTAGAAAATACATTTCTACAGATATGGCATATGTTTAAGAATAATGACAACAATGATTTTTGTAGAAAACCTTTAGGACACTATGGAAGTATGAACAAACTACGTGGGATGCTCATAATAATGGTCAATTTCAGAACCCACAGATAGTTTTCAAAATGTATGATATATTAGCAGCCATAACTGTATTTCCAGTTAAAACATTCTAAAACTATAAGTAAAATTCAACATGATTGACTGCATAATACCTCAATGTTAGAATTTAAAAACCAAAGTGATTCTAGTAATAATAGCTTCTAATAATATAGGCATATGTAGGAACTCTTGCAGATGGAAATCAATAATAAACAACCAAATATACATACTGTGTTTAAATCTTCACTCTGAATAATTAAGTACCAAAAATATAAGAAAAAGTAATAGAAAAGTAAAAAGAATAAACTTAAAAAAATATTGCACAGCCACATTACCTAAAAAGTAAAATTGATATTTAAAAAGCTCTACATATGGATGATATAAATTATCTTCCATATAAAAAGTATAAATATTTCTTGAAACACAGCGGCAGCTACAGTTTAATATCACACATTATTTGATTTATTGGTGAATGAGGTAATTGCCACGTCTCTAACAATGCTTTTATGCTACTGGAAATATTTTAGAGCAGCAACCAGAAAGAATTTTTCTAAAAATATTTCTGAATCAAGAACAGCAATATGTGCAGCTCTCCCAATAAGTGAATCTGCTGTATTGGGCAACGCATTGATGACATTGTATCGAACCAAATTACAGTCCTTGCTTTGCAGAACTGGGAGAAGGAGGTTCTGGATCATTTCAGCATAAATTGGTCCTATAAATGAAAAGAAAAATGAGAGTACTTTTAAGTTACATAAAATTTGGCAAACCTGAATAATCTAAAAATTTTGTTATTCTACACAGATAGTATTGGCTATGTTAACATTTACAATGGCCCAATTACATTTCATTTTATTATAAAGATTCTAGTATGTTTATTAAGATTTTATTAGGAAATTATACTCATGGTATTTTCTCAGTTGTGTGTATTATATTTGCAATACAAAACTGTCACTTGTTAAATCTTAGCAAATTATTTGGTTCATTCAACATAAAGCTTAAATCAAGTCCTATTTTTTCAGTTAATGACATGATTTTCTTATATAATTTGATTATATTAGTTGTATAGTCACTGAGGTCAATTAAATTTTTTAAAATTTATTTTTATTATGAGAAAATATAAACAATTAAGAATATTCCAAAATACAAGAAAAAAAGAGGGCTGTGATGAAACTGTGGACTTCCACTATGTATGTAGTATAATTTTAAAATTGTATGTTAAATTTAACATGATACTAACAAAACTTTTCTGTTTGTTTTTTCCTTCTGAACTTAAGTCATTCTGAGAAAACAAATCAGATCATGAATGACTAGGGAGTTCTTAAAAATATTTTGGTAGCCTTCATTTTCAGCTTGTTTTCATGAAGCAATAGCCACCAATGGCCAGAACAGCAATGTGAGTTTGGTTCTCCCTGAATACATAGGACCTTACAAAGGTCTTTGTTATGAAGAAGGCTTGTTAAATGCTTTTTTCTCCTTTTATTTCAAAGCTGCCTATTTTTTGGACCTCTGCAATTTTAGGTAATGAGGTGCTATTAAGCAGTAAACATAGCTACTATTTATAAATGTGAATTGCTTTACTTGGGACAAAGACATTTGCTTTTCCAATGCTGGTTCATTACTATACTTCTAATAAATAAAGGCTATGAGTTTTGTTAACTACAGTTTTCTTCCTAACCAGTAAAGCTAAACTTAACAGGTAAATAGGAGTTAGAAACTACTTATTTATGGTCCTTATGATTAGTAAGAAGGCAGTGTCAAAGTACAGAGGTGGTAGTAGAAATGTAATTTTAGGAGCAACGTAAAGGAAGGAAGCTGGGAGGAAAATAGGGAGTGTATATGGATAAGAGGTTGTACTGTTTGAATACAACATGCTAGATTCATTGAAGCAATGAAAACTATGCAATCACCAGATCCCTTTTACCCTCTTCCTGCCACAAGTCCCATATTTAGTACATCTACTTTATAGTTTCCTGATGTTATCATACTGCCTTATTTAAACTACTGAATAGGAAAAAAATGCCAAATATAATTTCTTGCATAGAAGGAGTTTTGATTGCCCCCCTCCCAACCTTGTGCCCCAATAATTCTGGAACGATGGTCTTTCATTGACAATTTGGATAAAGCATTGTACTGTCACTCAGAAAATCTGAGTTTTAACTCTGGGTCCGTTATCAAGTAGTTATGTAAGTTTATTCAAGTTACTGAATTCCTCTAGACCTCAGTTTTCTAATTTGTAAAATTAAGGGACTGAATTAGATTTTTTTTTTGGAGGTCTCTTTTAGCTGGGAATTTCATGACTGTATTTTAGAATTAAGTGATCTACAGCTAGAAAGAACCTTAAAAGTCAGCAAATCTACTGCTACCTAGGAACAAAGAAAGCTAAGGCCTTCTTTTCTTTTCTTTTTTTTTTTTTTAGGCAATTGGGGTTAAGTGACTTGCCCAGGGTCACACAGCTAGTAAGTGTCAAGTGTTTGGTCTGAGGCTGGATTTGAATTCAGGTCCTCCTGACTTCAGGGCCAGTGCTCCATTCACTGTGCCACCTAGCTGCCTCCAAGCTAAGGCCTCATTGTCCACCATGACTAAAATTAGGGCAGGGCAAGAAAAAAAAGAGTCCATTACTACAGGCCACAACCCCAATCACCATGGAGAAATGAATGCTCAAAAAACTGTAAGGAGATAAAGAGGAGGGAAAGTAAGGTGGTAACTTAATTGAGTAACATAATTCTCATTTACAGAGTACCATATGGTTTATAAAGCATTTTCTTCACAAGAAGTTTCTGAGCATATGCATGCATACAGTGTGGGTCAGGTTTGCTGGCACACCCAGGCACAATTGGCTCTCCCTTTATGCACACTTACGACTTTGGAGATAGGCGGTATAAGCATTATTATTTCCATTTTATGGATGAGGAGACTGTGACTCAATAGTGACATGCCTACAGTCAAGGAATCCCCTTCATAGAAATAATTCCCATCTCATTAGAAAATAGTTTTTCTAAAACAAGGGAAAGATGGTAAATTATGGAATGGAATCTGCTACTCCTTCACCTACCATAGTAGAGGAAGGATGGAAAATAAAGGTAAGGATTCATTGGGAAAAAAAGATATGAAAAAAAGATTAGGAAAAAGAAATTTTGGGAAAAAAGATATTTTTAATTTTTAAAAAATTTTTTTATTTTTAGGCAATTGGGGTTAAGTGACTTGCCCAGGGTCACACAGCTAGTAAATGTCAAGTGTTTGATCTGAGGGCAGATTTGAACTCAGGTCCTCCTGACTTCAGGGCTGGTGCTCTATCTGAAAAAAGATATTTTTGAAGTTAAAAGTAATTACTTGAAACATTCTCTTATCTGCTCCATAAGGCAATTTTTCCAATTACCTGACTGCTTGTCCTTTAAAGCTGTTTTGCACATCTCGATACGGGCAGAATGATAAGGAACATAACGATCCTGCAGAGAGCCTACTAATACTACATTTTTGAAGTAATGAAGACCTGTGAAAATGAAGAAAAAGAAGAAAGCCACCAATAATTAAAAATGCACTTCATTTCTTAGCATAAAACTTTTAGAAACTAATGAATCAATCCTTTAGGCCTTTCTAATAAAAATGTTGCTCACACATTTATTTTTTAAAGAAAAAAAAAACTAAAGTTTAAAACTAATGAATTATAAAAATTCAGTAAAATCTTGTTATTGTAATAAATTAAAATACTACTTCGTTTTCAATTAAGCCCTCCCCCATTTAATCAAACATAGTGTTTAGACTTCAGAATATGAATACTGAATCTTCAATGGATTTTGTAGTTGTTCAGTTGTTTCAGTTGTTTCAGTTGTGTCTGATTCTTCATGACCTGATTTGGGGTTTTCTTGGTAAAGATACTGTAGTGGTTTGCCATTTCCTTCTCCAGCTCATTTTACAGATAAGGAAACTGAGGCTAACAGGGTTAAGTACCTGGCCTAGGGTCACATAGTTAGTAAGTGTCTGAGGCTGGATTTGAACTTAGGAAGATGAGTCTTTCTGACTCTAGGCCTGATACTCTATCCACTCCACCACCTAGCTGCCCATTCAATGGACAAGTAATTCAAAATCAATAGCCAGGTGGGTAGCAGAAAACAGTAAAATCAGTTAAATTACATCATGATTATAACTATCCTTTCCCATGTACTGCTGTTTAGAATCTAGGACAGACTGTTAACAAAAATATTTGGGGCATATATCTGAAATATGCATTAAATAAAATATTAACACTCTGTTAAAAAGGACAAGTGAAGTTAGGTGGTGAAGAACAGGAAGTAATAAGTTGAATGTCAGGATTATCACCATTACTGTTAAATTTGTTGGAGAATTAATTGCTTTGACTGTTCCAGCAAAATATTGTCTTATTTTGTGCTAATGCCCTAAAAGGAAGGCAAGTATTTTAACTGCATGGTGACTACTGTATATCTAATTTACATAAGATTAAGTTGGAAACTAGTCCCTATTTATTCTCTCCAATTCTCCCAGTTCATATATTGAGCCTGTAGTCAGATATATAGTACAGGACCTATATGTTCAGGTAAAGGGAGATTTTTCTGAGAATTCTCCAGGTTGTTTAAAAAGGAAATAAAGAATCTGTAAAAGATACTAAATTGTTAAGTGTAGATTAAAGAACAGTAGATGAGGAATAGAGAAAAGTGATCAAAATATTAAGATTTTCGCATTAAAGTCATTCTTAAATGCTCAATATATTATTATGCTCATCTCCAGTCAGTATCAGATCATGTTTCAGATGATGGAATCATAGGTATAGGTCTGGAAAGAATTCTAACAGGTCAAAGTTCAAACCTCTCATTTTGCAAATAAGTAACTGATGTCTTGCCCAAGACCAGATAATTACTGAGTGATAGGAAGTCCTTAGAACCAGAGTCAGAACTTTTGCCACTATGTAATCCCACCCAACTATTCACCAGAGACCAAAGGCTAGTAAGCATGGACATCTTGATATCTACCCTCTCCCACTGCCCTTCCAACTGGCTCTAGCTCCCCTCTATTCCCCACTTAGTTTTTTACCTCTTGCTCAAGAAATAACCATGCAATCAATATTATTATTGCTACTGGAAAGGACCTGGCAATACTCTGATCTATAGCTCCACCCAATCCCTATGACTGCTTTACATCAAAAACTCCTTCTTTGGTCACTGCTCCCTAGTGTTCTGTAACTTCCCAGTAAATATGAGCTCCTTAAGGATAGAAGCTGTGTGTGAGTTTCTTTTGGAGATCTTTTAAGAATAAAACTAAGAGATTGTTGGAAAATCTTGGGACAGTAGTTTTTAGTAGAGTAGTAGGATCAAAAATTAGATTGTAGGGCATTGAATCACTTGATGAGAAGCGCCAGAGAACCTAAGCCTCAGGAAACCGAAGGTAGTACAGGGTCTAAATTGGAGAAGACCATCTATTACACCGTGGGAGCTTAGTGCACACTATTTTCAAGTTATTTACTGAATCCTCAGCTACCTAAGAGTAAGCCATTTCCTCCCACCTCAAATTCCACTGTCCATTCTCTCGTCCCTATCCACCTCAATCATATCCCTCCAATGTCCCCTGCTAGTTCTTCTGTTTCCATTATGACCTCTGGAATTCCTATTCTTTAACTGACAAACCTCCCTTCATGCTCTCATGCTTCTTTGATCTTCCGATACTCACAGAGTCTTGGCTTCTTCCAGATGACATACAGGAGAGAGTGAAACTACTCATTGCTTTCTGTTGCATTCAGACTTTTTCTTTACGGCTAAGATTCTTTATTTCCTTTTTAAACAACCTGGAGAATTCTCAGAAAAATCTCCCTTTACCTGAACATATAGGTCCTGTACTATATATCTGACTACAGGCTCAATATATGAACTGGGAGAATTGGAGAGAATAAATAGGGACTAGTTTCCAACTTAATCTTATGTAAATTAGATATTTCTTTATCAGCCACATTTCCTCCTTTGAAGTTTACTCTATCACCTAATTCAGATTAGTAGCATTGGCCCACCAAATGCCACCCCCAAGTAATTTCCCTCCTTTCTCAAGGAGTTCAATATTTGTCTCACAGCCTTCCTTTCCATTACAACTCCTACTTTTATATGAAGGGACTCTACAAACATCATAACCTCCAAATTCCTCAATCTTCTCAGTTCCCATGATTTATCACACTGTTCCACCCCAGGTACACCTAGAATGGTCAAACTCTTGATCTCACCATCACCCATGTGTTCTACTTCCACTTACTACAATCAACTCATCATTATCAGGGAGACCTCTAATCCCTCCAACCCTTAGTACTCCCTCCAGGCTCTAACTATCCCTACACTAACTACAACTTTCTTCTCTTTCCTCTTCCTGAGCTATCACACACTCTCAGCTGTTTTTCTGGACATTTCAAAATGTTATCTCACAGAGATTTCAAATTCAACATGTCTCCAACAGAATTAATTATTTTTCCCTCAAAATCTACCCCTCTTCCCAATTTGCCTATTTCTTTCTAAGGGCACTACCATCCTTTCAATCACCCATTTGCGGCTTTGGTGTTATCCTCAATTCTTCACTCAATCCACATATGCAATCAATTGCTAAATCTTTTCATTTCTATCTCCACATCTCTTGTATTCATTCTCTTCTCTACTCATATGAGCCCTCATTATCTCTTGCCTAGACTTTTGCAATAGCCTCCTGAAGAGAGTTATCTATTAACTATCTTGAATTTGTTTTGTATATACTTACATACACAAACGCTATTTTCTTCCTCCCTCGAGTCTCTCCCAAGTCGAATCCATCCATCACACATCTGATAAAAGGTAAATTGCCTAAAGTACAGATCTGTTACTCCTTTAACTTAATAAATTCCAGTGGCTCCTTACTGTCTTTAGCATCAAATAAAAACTCTTTTGTTTGACTTTTAAAATTATTTACCATCTTTCTCTTACCTACCTTTGCATCCCTGTTATTCATTTTATTCCCTTTCTTAACTTTGCAGTCTAGGTTTTTTGGCCTTCTTGCTGTTCCTCACATACAACACTCCACCTCCCATACCTCCTCCACCTATACCTTTGAACTGGTTGTCCACCATGCCTGGAATGCACTTCTTCCTAATTTCTGCCTCAGGTACTTATTTCCTTCAAAATAAAGCTTAAGTACAACCTTCTACATGACATTTTTTCTGATCCCCTCAGTTGCAAGTACCTCTCCACCAATTACTTAGGTTTGTGTATGTGTGTATGTATACAAATCTACACACACACACACACACACACACACACACACACACACACAGAGCTATCTCCACTGAAATAAAAACTCTTTGAGGGCAGTTTTTCTCCTTTTTGTCTTTGTATCCCCAGGGCACAGTACCTGCACAAAAGCAGGTATTTAATGAATATTGTCTTTCCCTGCCATTCTAGGGTGAGGCTAGAGACTGGAAGTTTTGTAAATTGTCTACCTGTGGGGACCTGAGATCACAAGGTATTCTGCGATCCAGATTCCTGGCCCTCTTCACTCTTAGGTCGCGGGTATTTGTAGCGGTGGCAAGCCAGGGAAACTGATTCAGCTGCTCCAGATCAATGCTATGTATGCTCTATTATCTCAGGATCATGAAGGATTAGGGGGTCCTCATTTACAGTTTTCATTCCTTCTTAAGACTGATAAACTTAAAGCTCCTATTGTCCTGCTCTTTTTGGTTCAATCACTAGAGAAAAAAACCCTTTTCCGTGTTTTCTCTCGTATCTTCACAAAAATGATTCCTGCTTAGGTACAGGCTTGACCCTATGGCTTCAACGGTTCTTTTAAAGTCCTATAAGATGCTATGAAGAAACCTCAGAGGACTTCTGGTCCAACTCATACCTAAATAGGAATCTCCTTTACAACATACTGACAAGTGCTCGTCCAGTGTCTCCCTGAAGTCCTCAAATGAGGAGCAGCCCACTACTTCCCCAGACAGCAGAATCAACTTTTATATAATTCTTCATTAGTAAGAACAGGAAGGCTTTCATAAATAATTTTTGTCAGTAGAAGACCACATCTTCACAGTCATAGAGCAGACTGAAAGATGTAAAGAACATAGGATTATCTTGCATTTATGTTTGCTAATGATGAAAAAAATTTGATTCATAAAAAGCAAAAGGCAGCTTTAAAGGCTTTCCTCCAACAGTACGTCTCCCCTAACAAGTGGTAAAATTACAGAAGAATCTCTGAGCTACAACCGTGGAGACGTGTGCCACTGTCACGGGAGATGCCCTATGCAGAGTCACAAAGGAAGAGTGATTTCCTATGAAGGATAAAATTCTACACAAGATTCTTGTTTCCAGATGACACTGCACTGATTGTATCAAGCACTGAAAGTCCAGTACAGGGTTTCCTCAATGAGAGCAGCTGAAAATTATCAGCTAACAATCTACACGGAAAGCAGTAACAACAACAATTTAGATGAATAATGCCTATTTCTTAGACCATGACAGGTAGTGGATTAGTAGTCCA